TGAAGTGCACTGAACAGATCAGTTGAGGGATGACAGTACAATCTCCTATTTCGTGGCAGATGTGAGGAGTGTGAGGCTTCAACACTAGCACTTCTCACTGGTCAAAAGATGGAATGCCAGGAGGCTTCAGAAAAAAAAAACCTTTGGTCCATTCAGACTCAAAACACAATGTGGGAAGGGTCACCTGCACAACTTTTGTTCCTTTCCTCACCCCCTTCAAATTCCTGTATTTTTCAGGACCAGGCATCCATACGTTTCCAACCCTTGAACTGTAACAGGATCCAAAATCTACTCTTAATTGCAGATAGAGGAGGCACTGTGCCCATTGTCTCCAGAAGAAAAAGGCAACCAAGCTTAAAGGGGGGGGCGGGGGGAGAGACTCCAGAAGCTTTGTAGCTGACATCCCAACTCGCATTCTGGTTCAAGTTCTTTCGGGTTCCTTTTGTTGGACGTTTGACACTGAACACTTTTTTTTAATGTTTCAAAATACTGGCCGATCTCCCTTCATCTTTCTTACATGACTAACAAGATCATCCTTTACAATGCCCACTTTATGCACTCTCCTTGCACACCTGCTATGCTTATTTTATGGAACTGGAATGAATATAGAACAGACTGCAAATGCAACAGTGAGGAACAGAACTGGCCAGTTTCCAGATCAGACTACAGGTCTCAATTTGATTTCTCCCAGTGGTATAAGCAGCATTTCAAAGGTTTCCTCTAGAGATGGGGCACAGGTGCCGATAACGAAGATCCAGCCCCCTTGGGCCAGATTGTCCACTCACAATTCTGCTAATGCCGCCGGCTGCACAATCCTTCCTATCCCTCGGGAGCTTGTAACTGGCTCGCCACTCCTGGCAGGAGGCGGATCAAGCCTCCCTGCCAGGTCGAAGAGTGGCTTGCAGATCGTGAGCTCTGGCGTGATAGGAAGGATCGCGGAGCCGGTAGCAGCAGCAGAATTGTGAGTGGATATCTGGCTCCAGGGGGATGCACCCAAGTTATCACCACCTATGCAGGGGTTTTCGTATTCATATACGAATCCCCCCCCATCTCTAGCTTCCTCCAAGCCATATTTCCTTTCATGACCTCTATTTCACAATGTACATAACAGTTAGTAAAGGATAGCATATCAGCAAGGCCTGAATATTCAACTAACCTGAAATTGAGTTACTTAAGAGAACAGGTGTAAGGAATGAGAAAACCAAGTCACGGGCCCAAGTCAGCAATCACTCAACGACGATGGGACTAGCTACCAAAAATCTGATTATTTCTATCTTCTCAAAAGAACAGCTAAGAAGCCAATATTGATAGGCAGAGTTAACAGCAACTGGTGACCTTGTACCTCTCAATTTACAATGGCAAAATATACACAATTGATCACCATTTGTTTAACACACATTGAGATTATGGGTGGAAGGGGGCTCTGGACTTTTCCAGCTGAGGCTATATTCAAAGCTTCGGCAATGCAGCAGAGGTAAGATGGAGCCTTGGCTGTTGTATGTGAGCTAACAAAAACCTAAGTGCCAAAATAATCTATAGATACCAGAAGGCACTTTTAATTGACAAACATGTTTCATTAATAGATATAGTGGCGGGGGGAGGGACAATTAGCATATATTTTCCCTCCACCTTTATGTTTGGATTGAGTTAATTTATAATTTATACTGTTGTCTATGTATTTAGTAAGACTACATGTTTTCTTAAAAACCTGTTTGCTCTCAAATATGTGTTGAGACAAATGGAGAAAACAGTAAGTGTTACCATTAGTTGTTCCCTTATTCAGTGAGGACTGCATTTGCATATGCCCATTATTTCCTACCAATGGAGAGAGGCATCAACCCTAGTCACGAAATAATGGCAGACAAAATCAAAATCCACTTTAGTTCAGCAACCACCAACCAAAACCCCACCGCATTTAGTAGCATAAACTGCAAGTAGTACAAAGGCATTATTAGGCGGTAGGCTTTGTGTTACAGTTCATCTTCTTAAAAGATTTTATTCTCTTGAATAGGCAGCAATGCACTCAACATTAGTGGTTGTCTGGACTAAATGTGAGCAACTGCCTCCACCCACCAATCTTTTATTTTAACAGGCAAGAAAACAATCACTCCAGTTATGAATTGACTGTAGTGGACAATCCTGAGAAATGTGAGTTGTAGACCCTGTATTTCCAGTTGCAAATTCAAGCGGCAATTAAACTGCAGCTACATTAAACCCTGTAAGATTTCCTCTCACCAGCCTGCTTCACACTGGTCATGAGTTATGTTGGTCACCAGATGCCCATTATAGTTTATTCGTTCAATTCAGAATAGCAAGCATTCTGACCCCCCAAAACTTGTGGCAGTTTGGTCACAGGTGTTCCCTTTGTCGTATCAGACCTGCACACGAAATTTAAATGATGTGGCCATGTAAGTGTGTTATAGCATCAGGAAAAAAAAGGAATTTACATGCATCCTTTGATAGTTTCTTTGTTTTAAAAAATGAGGCAGATGTGCAACACAATTGTGGAAATTTTATAGATCAGCTATTCAATAGCCACCGAGCAGCTTCCTGTACCAGGCAAATTCTGTTCTGTTCTAAGAAAATACAGATATGGTAGAAAAAGTAAGAAAATTTTCACCACAAAACTAAGAGTTACCACCACCTGTTAAAGCCATACACAAAATATATCTCTCAATACAGTGTTTACACTTTAGTCAACAACATCTGTGGCAGGAATGGAACCGAGGCAGACAGTTTGTTCAGAGCCTTCGTGTGCCACACTCGGTTCCGCATCTGGTTGGATCCCTTCTTCCGCTCCATTGGCAGAAAGGCCCACCTTTCCGTGAGAGTTGAGCGGGCATGGCTGCAGATCCACATGGACTGCTAGATCCACATCTGCTTCTCTTACAGAAACTTGTCCTTTAAGAACTTCGACCTTCTCATTCAGCTCGTTTCTTTCCGTTTGAAGAGCCCTGCACAGCTTTTCCAAGCGCTCCAGTTTTATTTGAAAGCCTTTGTATTCTTTGTCTTTAACTGTTTTCTGTAGTAAACAAAAGATGGTTCGTGACCAGCTGATACTTTTGTGATACGTTCCAATACACCAGAATGGTAAAGCAGATGCCTGCATCCACAACTTCCTATGGTCTCGGTCTTATAACCCTACGTAGAGCGCCTTGATTAGCCTAAAAACAAGTTGACCAAAATCCCCCTGTCCTGGTATCTCCCTTGTAAGT